GTATAGGTATATTCCTATCCTATACACAAACCCAGCTATTCAATCCTAAGAAGAATAAACTAGACGCATGTCATCATATTCAGATTTAAACCTAGAATTCATCTAGGTTATCAAACTAATTGTTGGTCACACAATCATATATTAATCACAAAATATGACAAAAAACTCATATAAGATCAATAAGAACTAGAAACTACAGTAGATTAATTTAACTAGACATAGGTTTCGTTGCAATCTTAATAAAAATTTAGTTCATAATGTAATTGAAAGACATCATTCTAAAATTAAACAACATCTTATAAAAACAAGAAGTAAAAGTAAGAGAAAAGAATGAAAATTTAGGTGCAATCTTCAATCATTCTTCATCCTTCAAGACCAATCTTCTTTGTGTTGATTTCTTCGATTCTTGTCTTCAATTTTCTTCCAATTTCTTGGTCTTTCTCCAATGTTTTTAGCCCCTAAAAGTTAGAATATTTCATTCCCACACAAACCCTAGCATATATGTAGCTTTAGAGTCCAACTTCGGGTCAAAAACAAGGTAAAACTCGCGTCACGGACTAACACAAGCGCCTAGGCGCTGGAAAAGTGCTGTATGGACAGAATGTTGGTGCCTAGGCGCGCCCCACTCTGCAGGCCTGCTCCGGATCAGTTTTCNGAGTAAAAAATAAGGTAAAATTCGTGTTACGAACTAACACAAGTGCCTAGGCGCTGGAAAAGCGTTGTATGGACAGAATGTTGGCGCCTAGGCGCGCCCCCTCTGCAGGCCTGCTCCAGACCAATTTTCGTAGAATGGTCGTAACTTTTGACACAACTGTCCGATTGAGCTGAAATTTTGACACAATACATAAGACATCCTGATCTACAACTTTTATGTTTTACACTTTTTCCGATTCGAAGTAGATCATGGTCAAAAAGGCATAAAACCGAGGTACTGCTACAAAATGGTACGCTATAAATACTTCATTAAAATACCCTTTAGCTTCCTCTTCAAAAATCCAACACTTAGGCTTCAATTTTGACCTTATTTCCTCCCAAATAGTCATTCCTACAAAATAACATCAAAACACACAAAACGAATAAAAATGAACATAAAATAATTAAAAACTTGTAATTTCATTAAGCCGAAAACACTCAATTTGTAGGTATAAAACCCACTCATCACTCTGTTTTAGCAGTCATGAGCCCTACTCTTTTCCCCATTTTTGTCTTGGAATTATGTAACTTCAATATCTTTATTTGTATGCTCTTCTAATTCTTGTTTCTCAGTCCACTGGACTCAGTTGCATAATATTGAACTTTTGTGTTTCTATGCAGTTCATGCCCAAGAAAGGAGGGACCCCGAAGAAGAATGAGATCATATTCACCGCTCCAACCGGGGAGGAGGTCACTAACAGAAGACAGTTGGAACAGTACCTAAAATCACACCCTGGTGGTCCTGCAATATCGGAGTTTGATTGGGGAACAGGTGATACGTCTAGGAGATCAGCAAGGATAAGTGAGAAGGCAAAGACGACTCCACCACCAGAAAGTGAACCCCCAAAGAAGAAACGAAGCATAAAATCTTCAACTTCAAAGAAGGATGACAAAGAGAAAGAAGTTGTACCTAAAGAAACTGAGGTGAAAGAAATCCACATGCAGGAAGCTGAGAAAACTGAGGAGAATGCAGCTGCAGATATTGAGAAGGATGATGTGAAGGAAAATCAAAATGAGAAAAAAGATGAAACCCAAGATACTGAGAAGGATGTTGTGATGGAGAATCAAGATGAAAAGAAAGATGAAACCCAGGATACTGAGGAGGAGGTTGTGAAGCAGAGGCAACATGAAAGGAAAGATGAAGCTCAAGACACAGAAGGAAAAGTAGAATATGCTCCTTCCCAAGAAGCAAAGCTCGAGAAAGATGTCAAAATACTTGATGATGCTGAGGCAAGTGAAAAGCATGCAGAAACAGAAGTAGGAAATTCAAAAGAGGCCCAAATTGAGAAAGTGGCTGATGGTTCTGGGAATGGGAGAGGAAAAAGTGGAGCAAATACCAGTTGAAACAGGGAAAGAGGATGGCAGTGGAGAACAGGAGAAACAGGATGCTGCTACGGAGGAAAAGAAATACAAAGTGGAAGGAGAGGTGACATAGGAAGGCAAGAGTATCCCAGTGGACAATAGCAGTGTGCAACAAATATTCTGGATGAGAATGGCAACCACGTCGAGGTCAGTGGGGCCAAACCTTGAGTTACTATACAGGTTTGCTTCAATGCCACTGCTATTGTACTTCCTCCTGACCTTTCTGAACGGATGACTCTGGTGGTGTTGTTAATGGTGGAATTCTGATTGTTGACATGTGTATGTAAAGTTGTAGATTAGGCCTTCAATGCCGTAGTTTTTGTTGCATCAACTGACATGTAACGAGCAGACATCATTGTAACACTATTTTACATCATAGATTAGGCCTTTGCATTGAGGGGATCAGGCAAGTAGGTTTCAGAGATCTTATGCAACATTATGGTGTTGGGACTTGTATTGTATTTGTAACATTGTAATACGTAGTTGTATGTTAAGTTAAAAGTCCTGTAAACTCAAGTTCCTTTGATTTCTCATTGTCTTCCTGGCATAAGTTGGTTATTGAACGTCCCAGCAAGTGTTTGTTGGTTCAGATTGTAGCTGCTTTACCTTTCAGATAGAATAGTAGTCTTACACCTCCTGTTATTGCATTGATACTATTCGTTTTGTTGAGGAAGATGGAGGGAGAGACCATAGAATCTTCCCAACCATCATATAACACTTTTTAAGGGCTGTTGAGATCATGAAATGCCTTCCCTAAATGCAGTAGTTGGGGAACTATATAGCCATAAGATTCGATTCTACTTATTTGAGTGCTAGTGTGCTAAGTTTAGTTAATCTGGTTTTCTTATGTTAGGCCAAGTAGCCGATTAGCTCACTACTTGAATAAAGGATGAAGTTCCATATTTAAGTATCCTTCGGCTAGAGAGTATTATTAACAACTAACGAGTATGATAGTCTTTTCAATTGAATTATCGACCACGATTGAATTATGCCCGCATTCGAAATCCGACAGAAGCTTAAAATCAGTTGGGCAATATCATAACTATTATTGAGCTGACTCATATCACTTAAAAATAGACCTACTTTCTTCGAGATATGAAATGAGCAATTGAAAATGGCTGTTACTACCAACCTCTACAAAACTATATAGAAAATTGTCTACTTTTTTTATCTTTGTCGGTCTTACCATAATCCAAAGTGTTATGCAATGGGTAAACTTTTAATCCTCATGGGCTTGTAAATAGGGACGGGCCTGAGAATGACCCCCCAACAACCATGGGCTGGGCCTAAATTGGCCAAAAGTCCACGTACTTAATTGGGTTTCTGATTGACAGCCCAACACAAATCATGATTGAGACATGGTGGGTCCAACAACAGTTGCAACCCTTGCCTCACCGATCAAAAACGGCAGGTATTAAAATATCCAATATTCCAACATAGGATAGATGTAAAAGTAGATTCCTTTGGATGGTGGACCATGACATTTGGATGACAAAAAAAGGCATCCCATTATTGGTTTTGCTGTGTTGGACTTTGCTTAATAACAAAACATCAATACAATATATCTCCTTCTGGCCGGCTCTAAAGACCATTATTTCAACTCAGACGTACCACACAAAGTTAAGGGTCACTTTCAATACGCACTCACAAAGAGAGATTTACTTCGAGGCTGTTGGAGTATAGATAGTCTAGGTTTATTAGGATTTCTTTTCCTAGATTTATTAGGATTTCTTTTCTCTTTAGGATTTCTTTTCCCTTTTTTACCCTTACTATGATTTTTATATTTTGCCTATATATACGGGGTTTTACTCTTAATTTGAGTATCTCCTTTTACTCACAATTATTTCAAGTTGGTATCAGAGCAAGGTTAGGGTTTGGGGTAGGGTTAGTGTATGGCTCTACCAGCCATACCGCCGAAACCACCCTGGCCATCAACTGCCTGAAAGTTGAATAGGAGAGGTTAAAGTGACGGCG